AGGGCCGTTTCCCGAACTGGAACACTTTGGACAGGTTCTAGTTATCACATCTGGTGTACCACAACGATAGCAATGCATTTTTCTGGGATTAGGACAATTACGATTTATGTGGCCTGTCTTCTGGCAATTCCAACAAGTAATTTCCCTAGACGAATTATGAGAATTATTCTGTAGGCCTCGAGAGATTTCACTGACTTGGTTTTCTTCATCAATAAAATTATAAGAAGTAGAAGGCTGTGAATTCTGCACTCCTACAAAAGCAAAGTCCGGTTCGACAAATTGTTGCTTCTTCCTAGACGGAGGTACGTAGCTTTCGGCACGATACTTCTTCACCTCTAGCTTAAGACATTCTCTCTCAAGCTCTTCAATTGTATTTACAACAGGAAGTTGCGTGGTATAAAATGGGGATAAATTCCTACACAAAATATCCAGTTGAGTATCTGGGGATAAACCATCATAGCGTCTAAACAATGCCTGCATACATGAAAGATAGTCAATGATAGTCTCGGAGGTATCCTGTGTTCTTTCTAAAATTTCTTTAAAGAGTCTAGCACGATAGTCAGGTGGCTCAAAATGACTGCGCAATAGGTGGCTTAAACCCTGCCAATCTTGAAACCTATTATTATTTGCCCTAAACCAATTTAAAGCTTTTCCGGTGAACAAATCGATGGCCGAATCAAATAATTGTTTTTCAGTTATATTACGAGCCAAGCGCAACTCATTCACTCTTTCTAGGAAATTGTGGACTGATAGTTTTTTAATGTCGCCGGTAAATTTTAAATTCCATTTCTCAAGGCTTAGATATTTCGAAGGGGAGACGCTATTTACAAAAGGAACAGATTGACTAGTAGAATTATGTACATGTGAGGAATGTAATGGTATATCATCATCAGGATCTCGAAAGTGATTGCTCAACTGAGGTTCTTGTCGAGACGTTGATTCTAAAGTATCGATTGCTGCTAAAACATCAATCAAAAGTTCGGTCTTCTCAGATTGCTGGTTGACGTTCAAAACTTGGTCAGGTATTCTATTTACACGGTTAAGCAGATGGACTAGTCTAGACTGAATGGACAGAAATTTGTTTTGGACGTTCTCTTCCGATGATACTGTACTAATGGACTCATTAACCTCGTCTAATAGCGTACGAATAATTATCTTTTCATCATCAAACTCTAGGTTATAGGGAGAAGATTTGAAAGCTCCGGCCTTTTCCATTTTTAATAAAGGTCGCAAGGTAGTTCTCAATTTATCGACAGTACTTTGATCATCAACAGACACACCACGAACCCTAAGCTCATGAAGTAACATTTCCTTTTTGAGATAACAAATATTCATTTTGAAATCCATAATGCCAAGAAATTTCAATAAAGTACAAATTTAATTATTAAATGTAAAATTTAAAAAAAATAATGATGTTAATTATAAAGTAAAAATACGAAGTATTTATTATATCAGTAATTATATAAAGTTCAGTCCAAAAGTAAACCAAGTGTTTAAGGTGTAAAATGGCAAAAATAATACTTGTCAACAAAAATAAAGCAAAGAAAAAAGTAAGTAAATATCAAATTAAAAATATCGATATCGAAATCACAGGTAAGTTAGTAATGCAATCCGCCAGGTAAAAAAAAACAAGGTAAATAGAAAATAGAAAAAGATAAATAGAAAAGGCAAATCAACTATATACCAAAACGTATATCAATCAAAAGGTAAGTAAAAATATCAAAGGTAAATCAAAGGTAAATCAAAGATAAATCAATGAAAATAATCAGTATCAATAATAATCAGGAGTCAAGATAATATTAAAAGAAAAAAATGAATAAATATTAACCAGGCAAGATGAATATAAAATTATTTGGTCTCTAAGTCTCTATAGATATATAATAATAATAGATATTAATAGAATTGCCCTTTTAATGCAATTGCCCTATTTAAATCAATTGCCCCACGTTGGGCGCCATAGAATTTGTCACGCGTTTGGCCTTAGCTCGGCTCTTTTAAATTAAAAAAAAAAGAAAAAAAATTAGAAAAGAAGTAAAAAAAATACGAAGAAGAAAAAATATTATTATTAGCGATTAAGAAAATAAATATTTATGGAATTTGCAGGGGTCTAGTCGCGAACAAATTTATGCCCTAGCTCAGAAAAATTCGGAGAGTAGGGGCGGGTTAAGAGCGCCACTGACTTTAGACGGAAAAAAAAAGTCAGAAATCCCCATGGTGTATTTAGGGCCTTACAAGTTCCACAAATACATAAAATAAAAAAAAGGTAAATAAATAAACAAAAAAGGTCAAGATCTTAGAGAATTATGTAGACATAGGGCCAAAGAAAATATAAAAAAATAATGCAAACTGATTAGTTTCAGTACCCTCTATTGAAATATAAAAGGAAAATATAGGAAACAGTAAATAGAAAATACCAAATAGCAAATAGTAAATTAAATAAATCAATAAAAAAATTGTGCACCAAGAAAAAATATATCTCACAATACGCAAGTAGCAAAATTACGCAAATGCCTAGGTACCTTTCGTGATCACGTAAGATTTCACAAAATAAAATATATATGTATATATCAGCGCAACTAAATTCAGCTAATATATCAAATTAATCAACAAATTAATAAATCAAATAAATAATACTAAACCAATTCACTAATAATAATAATTAATAATATAATTATTAAATAAATAAATCAAACTAATCAACTAATAATTATGAATTCATCAGTTCAAGAAATTTAGATATCGATAAAAAAAATGAATAGATTTAAATTTTAAATAGAGACAAAAAGAAACTGTGTCAGCTGTATTAAATTTACAAAAAAAATTAAAGGAAAAAAAAATGAGATATTATTTTATCAACAGAATTAAGTATGTGAAAATTTATTCTAATTAAATTATAATGTTAAAAAAAATTATCTACGTTCAGTATTCGTACGCACCAATGAAATTCAAATCGTAAGATAGGGAAAAAAATAAAAATTGAATTGTACGATACCAAATAGTTGAAAATCTTCTAAATCAAATCAATCTTGGCAGAACACCGTCGGCTGTCAACTGTCAACCGTCGACTGTCAACTCCTCCAGAAAAGTAAAATGGGTACAGCGAAAAAACTGCTCCAACAAAAAACTGGCTCAGAGAGAAGTCTTCAACACAGAAGAAAACTTCTTCGGCCCAGACAAAAACTTCTTCGGTCCAGACAAAAAACTCTACGACAAAAAAACCCTGCTAACTCCAGGGTTTTCTACGAATCCTCAGGTGATTAATATTATTTCTTCCCCTGGATGGAATGGGGTGCTCAATAAAAAAGGCGGGCTGCTTGGTTGACCCACGTCAGCTTTTTGAGGTGAAAATCCCGTCACCGGTAAACCGTAGCACCGTCCAAAAAAAACAAAAGGTAAGATAGGATGCTGCAGTAATTTTTGAGGCACACTCGAAAATCCCCACAAGGGTAAAAATCAAAAACTTGACAAAAATGACCGAGAGGCCTCTGTACCTCTGTTACACTAGCTGAACATAAAGTGACCAAACCAAGGTAGTTCCAAGAAAAACGAAACCTTTTTTTGCAACAAAGAAATAGCCAGAAAAACACAGGCCCTTGATAAAATATGGATTGCCAACCATGAGCTGAATAAAGACATGAAGAAAAAGTTATATATTAAAGGAAAAATAAAGTTAATATCAATAATTTATATAATTAATAGAATAAATAAAGTTAACGAGATTAATGAAAATATAGAAATTTGCTTATCAAAACATTCAAAAATTAATAAATAACAACAATCTAGAGATATTGGGCATGACTCACTTGCCGGATCGATACGATATTTTTAAGACAATTATGCTTAAAAATTCTACCTAAAATTAAAATAGAGCAACATAAATTTAATGAGTTTAACTAAGTGACAATAGGCTCAATAATTACTGTTGATTAAATAAAAATACAAAAAATATATAATCAATTTATTAAAGTATATTTTGGAGTTTGCCTAATAGTTAATGTTAATAAAAAATATAAAATAAATATTTGACAGTTCAATTCAAAATTTCTAACCTACGTATTTAGTATATAAACAGAATTAACGGCGGAAAGAATTATTTTATCTATTTCGGCTAAAATAAATATTAAATTGTATTAAATCAAACTAGTTTTGTGCTGCAAAAAAAAATGTTATTAAGTGTGAAATATGTTTAGTTAAAAATAAGGATGGAATAATTACTTTTGTTAACATGTAAGTACGATTTATTTATTCTTGGTTTACTGAATTGAACTGATCGATATTTCAGACTAATAATAATATCAATTAGCATTAAATTATTAAAGAAAAGAAATAAAATAGTTTAGTGAAATTTTGGCACGTTACACGATACAAGCTACCGTTTCATCTACCCGACCTGGGTCAACCAGACGGGCTAGGCGATTCGCTGAGAGTCTTAGTGGGGCAAGTCTTAGCGGACCAGAAGTACGGAGATACCTCCGACTGCTCCACGAAGGACTTGCTCCAGAGGAAGCAAAAGTGAAAGCATTCCTCGAAAAAGGAGAGTAAAGGAGCCAAGGAAAAGCCTGGCGCATTTCTACCATAGGTTGCAAAAGAGGGAGCGAGAACGATAAGGAGAGAAAAAAGCCAGAATGGAAAGCCGTCCAACACCGAGAGGCAAACAGAGACGTATCACCACCTTTGCCGCTATTACTCAACAAGTGGAAATGGCGGTGCTGCCAAAGGATTATCCAGAAGTTGCACTAGCACTAGCGAATGGAATGCAACACAACGATTCACAAAATGTGAGTCAGTTGCGATTTGTGGTGATACACTTTCGGGTGGGCATGCGCTTCATAGATTGTGCATCTCAATAATCGACGGATTGGTTGGTGGAAACGGTAGTATGTATTATCCGATAATTAACTTCAAATAGGTATCAATATATCGGTAATGAATTATTAGCGACTTATATCGATTTTTATTGGTATCTACTAAGATATCTACTAACGGTATCCACCACTTACCGAACCTCTGAGAGTCCCCGCCAATGGCTATCACATTGATCCAACAGAGTAAAACGTAGGGACTGGTGATGTCGTCCGCATCTTCCTTCAGCTGGGCAGTTTCTATACAGTAGATAGAGTCGATTTCGGCGATGACGTTCACCGATTGGGAGTCGTTGAACGTTCTCATGAAACCGCCGTCGCCGATCTCCGTGAGAAGCATGTTCTCTTTTTCTATCGACGTGTCCGATTCCAGGATGGACTTCAGCTCACCTATCGACGCTCCGGATGGGATGCTGAGTCCTATTCGAACTTGGCGAGGCTGTTGGGAGGTGTACACTACCTGGATTTATGAAAAAACAATGTTATTGAAAAATTACACTGGTGGTTAATGTAGTTTGAAACTGAGAATATCGTCGGTGAAATGTGAAATGTGTTAACAGCTAACCCCATTATTCCTAATTTTACAGGAGAGCAAAATATGGTACAAAAATATGTACACATGTAGTAAGTATATTCAGGCGTTAATATGATAAAGGGATAACAATATTTGATGGGAATCAATAAAACCCAATATTGCGCTAAAAATTTAATGTAAAAATTATGTGTTTAACGTATCATTTGATTAATGTAAAAATGGTGTTAGCAGATTAATGATTAAGATGACGATATAATGTATTTATAATGCTATGAATTACATAATATGCAAGTTTCTTATCAAATCTCAATGTAATTCATAGGTAAAGTCTGTCCAACTAGTCAAGGAAGATTTTGATATCCAAGAAATAATAAAAGCTACAATTTAGCTCTGAATTAAAATGACACATATTATGCCGGCTCCAGACCAAGGCGAAAAAAAGTAAACACGATTTTGAGACAAAGACAAGACAAACTTGTCACATAAAATGGAGACTTCTGATAAGACAAACTTGAGACAAATTGTCCACACCGCAATGACAAAAGTACAACAAAGTCAAAAGTTTAGTTGTTGGGAATGAGTTTTATTAACCATGTGCAATTTCACTGGTCTCCTACTGTTGGCAGCACACGCTATCCACACTGCGCCGACAACTTGTCGCAAAATATACGAACAAAACATAGCCACTTTGATCTTTACCGACTCGAGACGGGATATTGAAAACATGAAATGTATTGGGTTTGTCACAACTTGGTCTGGACCCGGCATTATAGATGTATTCTGTAATTTTTTGTCAACAGTCTGTAATGTTCTGCCAAAATTACAAATTGTCTTTCTGGAGCGACTGTGGTTTGCTTTACATCAGACACTACATTCACAATTATAACTTACTACCGTTTATTAATATTATCAAAATTTCCATAATATTATTTATATTTTGGTATTCTTTTTTCGATACATCTTACGATACAAAATATTACATACATTTTACCATACAAAATACTATACAGGGTCCGACAATAGTGCGTTATAGGATGGATGTATTTCAGAAAAATAATAGACTTAATAATAACTTCTACAGGCTGCAGTAAATCAAAACTATGTATATTAGGTATTTACTTTAGATGGTCTTTACTTACTTTTCTGTAAATATCGTAATGTTAAATAACACAGGGTGTTCAAAATTGTACGCCAAAGGTTTTAAATTATAAAATAATTTTTCTTTGTTTTTTTTTTAAAGGAACACCCTGTATATTATCTTATTATTATATTTATTAGATGGAGAGTTAAAAATAAAAAAAAATATTTAAAGTATTTCAAAATTTTTAATGGTTTCGCAGATACACGTAGTATTATTTCATATGGCTCTTTCAACGGTAAAATACGCGATAAAAATCAATGGGTGGCTTTGATAAAAATTTAGTGTGGAAAATGCCATATGAAACATAAAACCGCGAATATCTGCGAAACTGTTAAACATTTTGAAAAACCCATACAAAAAATATTCATTTTTTAATTCTCCATCTGTTAAAAAAATAATATACAGGGCACAGAATACAGGGTGTTCCATTTATAAAATCAAAGAAAATTTATTCTATATTTTAGAAAGTTTGGAATAGAATTTGGAAGACCCTGTATGATTTAAGATTACGATATTTATAGCAAAGTAAGTACAGACCACCGTAAGTAAATGGCTAATATGGTTTTGATTTCAGGACAGTTCTTGTATTTAATTAATACTTTTTTTTTGGTGGGCTGAAAAAAGTATATTTTTTATTAGTATTTTAATGAAACACGCTTTTAGATGTATCAAAAAACTTTTAATAACTGAAGTTCTTAAAAAACTCTTGAAAAAGGCCTAACAAGCCGAAACATATATGTAGAGTTAAAGTTACTCTTATTAAAAGTTTTTTGATACATCTAAAAGCGTGTTTTATTAAAATACTAATATTTCAACGATGTTTCACAAGGAACCAACCACAGCTTCAGTACAATATATTTTTTATTAATTTCTTAATATCTTTGAAACTATAGAAATATATTTACTCATATCTTAGGATTATGGAAAGTGATCTGAAAGGAAGCCATAAATACAATAATAGGGGGTGTTCCAATATACGGGGTGTTCCATTTAAAAAAAGTCATGCCGATCTACTCACACTATATTGAGCCACCCTGTAGAAGTTAAAATATTTTTCTGAAATACATTCTAGTACATACTTTAGGTCTGCACTTAAACAAATTCACAAGTTTTTTTTTATTCTAGGAGCTACACATGCCCGACGCATTATAGCCGGACCCTGTATATTACTGCAAAAAGTGAAAATAAGTTAGCGCATTGAGATATTACAGTATTGATAACTTCATACAAAATATCGTTGTTGTACCCAATCTTTTAAAATCACAATTTTTCAAGGATTTTCTGTATCAAATTTTATTAATAAATAAAGTAAAATTCTTGCAGTAAGTAAATGAAAACTGCGTTCTAGTCTACTTCTTCCAACCGATATCGAATAACATATGTCAACCTTTTACTTACCGTAACGTAAATTGATTGTTTGTGAAATTGTGGCAATTGAACGGATATGCACTGAAATGGATCGAAGGTATTCGATTGCGTCCGACATCTCGAACAACTCAAAGACGAACGGTATTGAGCTTGAAAAATACCCTGTATGAACGAATTGTTACACCGCTTGTAGTTCTCCAATGTTTCCGCAGCTATCACTTCATCGGACCTTCCAGATGTCTGAAAATAAAATAGATTTGTGTTACATATGGTAGAAACATTTTTTTTTTAATTTTTAAGTAGTAATTAAAACGTTTTCATCTAGTACGCGAAATATTCATGCGCGATTTTTTTTATCATTTTGGTAATGAGAATTGAGTTTTTAATAATGAGGTACAACCGAAAAATAATCGAGATTATCAAAATGCTTCGCCCACGAGTTGCAAGCAACATTTTCGCCACAAACACCAAATAAATATTTTATAATTAATTGATATAATACAATATACTGGGTCTTAAATAAGTGCAAATAGTTTCAGGGCTGCATGGTAAATCTAAATAAAAGAAATATATTTTCCCTTAACCCTTTTTCAAATAAAAATAGAGTTATTTTACTTTGAAAAAAAAAAAACGATTTTTGTTTAAGTTTAAAAAACCACTAGATTTTATCTGGTTTCTTGTAAATGTAATCTACTATGTTGCCATATTATCCAGATATTATGATTTTTAACTTAAAATTATTTTTTGTTTGAAAAATACCAAATTTTCAAAAAAAAATCGCGAAAAAACTTCATAAACGTTTTTGTATGGTCGAAACACACAAACCCTAAAAATATATACACTTATTTAAGACTTACCCTGTATAATAATAACAAAACATTAATATTTAGCATTAAGTTCTCACATAGCCTAATAAATAATAACCTTACATATAGCTCTTTGCCTACTACAAAAATTGTTAGAAGGCCCACTAACCACAGCCTTAACAGTCTTCCTATCTATGCTTATCAGGTCTGTCGTAAACCTTGGCAAATATTCTCCTATGAACTTTTTTGCCAGTCTCTTCCCTGGTGAATTTCTCCACAGTTCTAGTGAATTGATGGTCACGCACTGGTTTTTGACCATTCTTGTGACTGCTTTTGCAGCGTCGCAGAAGAGTTCTAAGTCTATGAATAGCATTGATGAACCTTGTTTGGCTATTTCGTCTTTTTTACCCTTGTGGCTCGGTACCTATTTTATTGAGAGCACTCTATTGTTACCACCAGGTTGCCTTAGCTTGAATGAGTACACTATTTATCCAGTCTACCTTGCCTTGTATAATTATATTAAATTTGTTGATAAAACTATATCATGTAGCTGATTCACAAGCGGTATTCCCCATACCTTGACTGCGTTTAGCTCTTCGATTAGCTTCTGATTTTCAGCACAATGCTTCTGGCTTATGTCATCATCATCGTTTTAGTACTCCTTTGTCCACTGCTGAACAAAAGCCTCCCTTAACTCTAGCCATTTCCTTCTATTTTGTGCCACTTGAATCCAGTTTCCAGCCACCCTCTTAATATCGTCTGTCTATCGACTAGTAGGTCGTCCTCTGCTTCTATAGGCCTCGGTCTTGGTCTCCATTCCACAAGTATCTTTGTTCACCGTCCATCTGTCATCCTAGCCACATGTCCTGCCCAATTCCATTTATGATGTAAGACAGATATCATCGCATCTCTTACTCCTGTTCGATTTCGCATGGTATGATTGGATATTTTATCTCTAAGTGTAACTCCCAACATGGACCTTTCCATTTTCCGTTGGCTTATGTGCTGCTGACCAATGACTAAAGAATACAAAGACATGTAACGCCCATATACGGGCTGCAGCAGAATTTGTGACCTGAGACGCCATTGCTTTAGAAGCAACGAATGAGTCATCAGCGATAATTTTAAGCGATTTTTAGTAGTCGGTTGTGTTAGTGAACTTTGTATAAACTCTATTACAATGGTAATTTCTTCAGCTTGCAAGAGTAAAAAGGCACAATGATAAGAAAGAGCCAGGAGTTACGTTTTATAGGAAAATAAACAGTCCACTCAACCTTTTAAGCGTTTTTTTTAATGAATTTGGTAACTATTTTTTTGATATTATATGTACTTGATATGTGCTATACGTCGATACTAGATTTGTGCATTTTGTTAACATTTTAATACGTTTCTTTTTCGTAATTAATTAGTATGATACCACCGGATACACCGTAAGTGTAGTAAAAGCATTTATCAAAAATATAAATATCGCTGCAAGCGGCTATGTTAAGAAAAATATGTGCCACGACACTGTTTAGAAGAATGGTCAAAGTTTGGTCTCGTGTGTTATTTGTCCTCGTATTCTTTGCTGACCATGAATTAACCTGGAAATGACAGAACCGGCGTCGCCTTGTATGAAAATGTGTAGTGGTGGAAGATTAGCAAAACAATCCTCACCTATCTTATTGAATCAATTTCAATGAGATTGAAAACCACTTCCACAATTGCGATGGAAGTTTTATTGAACTTACCACCACTACATATTTTCATACATGGCGAAGCCAGCTCTGTTATGCACAGGTTCATTCACGGTCAGCAGCATATAAGCCAGGCGCTTAGTGCTGAAAACCAGAAGCTAAAAAAACAGAAGTATAGTACATTCGCCAAAATTCACAGCAGACCTGATAAGCAAAGACAGAAAGACAGTCAAAGCTGTAGTGGGTCTACCAACAGAACATTGTAAGCTGAATTTGAAATGAGAGAGAACATATTTTATACCGGTGCGACAGTCTGGCCAATGTGCGATTCTCGGTAATAGGCAATTATAGGCCCGAGGATAGGCCATTGCCAGAGAGCTACATGGAGCGTTCAGTCCCCAAGTTGTTAGACTATGTGAAAAGGATAGGAATGGAGAATGTAACACTTAAAGATCAGAAGAGGACCCCAATAGATCTAAAAAGGTCGCAGTGGACCAGGCCGATAGCTACCTCGAAGCATCTATCTATTTGTACTATATTTGTACAGTTATTTTTAATTAAACTAATCATTTTAGTTTTAAAGGTCATACGTAAAAACAAAACGAATTTAATAGTAAAAAACCCCATACTTTTCCAATCATTCTTTAAGGGTAAAGTTCATACAGGATAGTATAGACTCTGCGGAAACTATTTTAAGTGATCTGATTGGATTTGTTTTAGAGGCTCGCCTTTACAACGATGAGATTATTTCAAGATAAAAAATTCAATTGCCATTAACCTAATTTAGTTCTAAAATAGATTTGATTTGCTGAAAGGCTTAATAATGCCTTTGAACCAGACAGTTATCATAACAGGTATTGTAGGTAATCCCTTAACAATGAAAACTTTTCAATGTTAAGCTTTGTGTAATATAAAGAAAAATACAAAAAATGGTATGATGTTTCATCGCGATTTGGCATATGTTAAATATATTACAGTGTATTGAATACAATTTGTGCAACAATTTATTTAAAAACTAGGAAATAAGGACACAAAGTTTCTCATATGTGTTTTGTATTACCAAAATTTGATGACAAGATTGATGAACAAGATAAAATTGATAATTATGGTATTTTTATGACTGCTAAAAAAGTCGACAATATTATATTAAGTAGAAAATTATCAATAATAAAATTATAATTACTCGAATACTTAGTTACATTAATATCTCAATTATACAGGGTTTGAAAGGTTGGTTTGGTTTTATACAGAGTTTTAAATAAGTGCAAATATTTTTAGGGGTAGTTTTTTTCGCAATAAAAAATTGAAAATTTGGAACTTTTTGAAAAAAATTTTGTTTTTTTTTAGTTCGGTGGTTTTATGGCAAAAGGTACTATATTATCGAAATCTTATTGCGATATTATTGTAACACGAAAAACGTGTTTTCGCCAAAATTTTGAATTCTATAAAAATTTGGCTTAAAAAAGGTTCGGAGTGGCTGTTTAAGCCAAATGGAACCATATTAATTTTATAGATCATAGAACTTATTGCCATAAGAGAAACACCAACATTTCGATATAGCACCTTTTGCCATAAAACCACCGAGTTTTTCGTCAAAAAACATAATTTGTTGATAATATGGTAACATAGGTAGTAGATTAAATTTACAAGAAAGAAAATTCAGACAAGATTCAGCGGTTCTCAAAATTTTAGCAAATAATTTTCTTTTTGGAAATTTTAAAAGTAAATAACTCGGTTATTTTGGATTTATTTGAAAAACGGTGAAGAGAAAATATGTTTAATTTATCCAGATCTACCAGCCCTGAAAATATTTGCACTTATTTAAGACTCACCCTGTATAATCCATACTTTTTATATCGATATTTAATAAATAAAAATGATTCTAATTATTAAAATTTTTATAACCTGAACTTTGAGAATGGGAGTTCACCTTATTACATGGATTATTTTTTTGGTTCTATCAGTAATTTAAAAATAAGCACTTAAAAAGCATAAGTAATTATCAGAACATTTACAGTTTTAATGGATAATATATCTAGGTACTAAATTTACAAGTCAAAACGTTTGGTTTTGAAAGAAAAGAATATTTCCTTAAAATATTATTATAATTTGAAATATTTATTATGATGTATATGTATTGTTTATTAAAACCTTTTCTTGTTAACGGAGAGATACAGGGTGAGTCTTAAATAAGACCAAATATTGTCAGGGCTGGTAGGTCTCGATAAAAGAAACATATTATTTTTTATTTACCGTTTTCGAAATCAGTTCAAAATAGCCATGTTATTTTACTTTGAAAATTTAAAAAAAGAATGATTTTTTTATTAAATTTTGAGAACCACTGGATCTTTTCTGGGTTGTCTTTCTTGTAAATTTAATCTACTATCTATGTTGCCATATTATCAAGATATTATGTTTTTTTTAATTAGAAATTAAAAAAATCCAATCTTTTAAAAAAATGTATCGCGAAAAAAACTCATAAATATGTTTCTGGGATCGAAATACCACCCATAAAATATTTGGCTTATTTAAGACTCATCCTGTATATACTTAAGTATATCATTACCATATACCTTATGATCGAAAAAAAACGGCCTCCAGTTGGCTTGAAAATGACGATCGATGACATGAACCATAATTTTACGTGTAAAATGACAGCGATTTTCATTTCATAGCCATCGTTGACGCCGTTTCGTTTTTTTTAATAATGATGTATAACATTTTATTTGTTTGCTTATTAATTCAAAAACTCCTTCAG